AAATCATGCAAACAAATTTGTGTCCCAATATGTTCCATGGTTAGAATTTTCTCCATATGAAATTATTTTTCAGGAAGGAAAACCATGGAAATAATTGAAATAGTGTCCTTATTGAGGCCCTAAATAATATGTATAACATTCAGCTTGTATTATTTTCTCAAATTTTCAGGTAAAGAAAATAGTTCAGAACTGTTGAAGTTTCGTTAATTTGAAATTCCTTTTTTTTTTATTCGTATAAATAAATACGTATTTTTTTTTGTTTCTTGTGGGTACAACAATAACTTATTGATAATAGTGATAATGATTTAGTATGCTCAAATTCAATTAGTTTCACACATATATCTGATGAGCAGAATTGTATTGGTAGTTGCATATCCTCTACCGCTGCTACCAAGTATTAAAACACGTCCGAGCAACAGAGGTCAGGACAGAGACAGGAGGTAGTGGGGATAGTTTTTAAAAAGGAGTGATCGCGAATGCACGCTTCCGCCTTTCGCGAAATTGGACAATTTTGAAAATTGCTTAAAATGCGTAGTTCGTGAAACAACTAGTAGATAGTTTGGTGCAACAATAAACTATCAATAGTACACGCCGCAAACTTGATAGACATCCAGATATCGAGATATCTCATTCTGGACCTCCGATAGCCGACCGGCAAAGAAGAATACAGCTCCTTCACGAGGTAAACCGCTTTTCTTTTCTGCTATCAGCTGGTAAAACACCTTTTTTATACAGTCCATTCATTACACTAGACAGAACATTTTGTGGAACAATGCCATTTCTTGATAGATGGTATAAAATTGTGAAGTTGAAAGAGAGACACACTTATTATAGATGAATTCAGTTGGGAATAATGATCCTAAAATGTCCCTAATGAACTTGAATGAAACTAATTTTCTTGTATAATTCTTCTTTCTCCAAGACAAAGAAATTTCAGTAAATTTTATGAAACATTTTGTGTTAATCTTATAAGGAATATATCTCAGATATTTCCATTATGTTGCACTTTTATTGCATTAATAAAATGGAATGAATTGTGATAATGACTTCTTTATTGAATCAATTCAATGATTTCAAACGATAATATTTTCCAAATTGATAATGAAATAAAACCATTGAGTTAGAATCATTCAATTTATCCAGTAGGAAATCCTCTTTAGTTAATTGTTTCTTCTTTCTCAGAAATGATGGCCTTATCAATTTCAAGAATTTTTCTTCAGATCCTTTGTCAGCATGACCTTATCCACCATGATTTCATCATTAGGTTCAGACTTCCCAATAACTATTTCGAGTATTTCGTTATTAAAAAATGCTTTATCAGTAGCTCAACCTCCATATCCTTAAATGCCAACAGTAATCAGTCCTGATGGAGTGATATTGCAATAAGAATTTGACTGAGTTTTTGTAATTTGTCTGTACAACAGGAGCACTGAGGAACAACATATCTTTCTAGATTTCTGTTTTTAGTCTTTTGTACTTGCTGCATGTTCTGGAAAAACAGTAAAACTATCTCGTGAATACGGAAACATATTGGAAAACTTCAAAATTCATCAAAATTCACTGGATTGCACAATGCTGTATTTGTTTGTTTTGTTTATCACCTCCGCCATTTTCATTTTGCCGCTCGACAAAAGACGACTGGGGAAACAGTGACGTCAGGCCAGAGAAATATGAGGCAACCTTATAGAGTTAAATAGCCTTGCTTCGTACGTACTTGAAATGTCAAACTTTTTTCCCATCACAGAAAAAAAACATTATTCCACAGGTCAATTCAGTTACATTAAGCGGCAAATCGTGGCTGGTCGAAGTCAACTAAACATTCACCTCTTGCCAGATAATTTCCGATTCTGTCAGGACAAGGCAACAAATCGTAATCGATTTAGTGTACGATATACCCTAGGGCTTATAGGCCATCGAACAACCGAACTACACCTACCGAAAGTGCATAATTCAGTTTAATGTGTTTCCGTTGAGAACAAACAGCGAAGTTTTATGGCTGCAAGCCCCACGCTAATGGCTACAAGCACAAGGGTATAGGCAATGGGCGGTGGTAGACATCAGCTAACAAGGCTGTCTGTTGATGCGTTGTTGATGAGGATCAGAAGTGGGATTAGACGATGAAAATTAGCAGCACTCAGTTTAGTAGTGATGGTGGAGTTAAAGGGGGAGTTTCCAATATTGAGGTTTCCATCTCATTGTGAACTTTGTGAACATTCAATATACCTTCACAAACGATGAGATTTCCACAAGATTCTCAAACACACGACATGTTTCGCTTACACAGTAGCTTCTTCAGGTGATATACTGATACAATGAACTAAACTAACGTTGGCTTGCTTGACTTTTATAAATCCTACTTTCCCAACCTGAAGGATTAGTTACCTGTGGACAGGTACGATAAACCTCCATTTTCGGAAATTAGGCACAATATCTACATTAAAATACGGTATACCGGATTAACTTCAAAGAGTTGATAGCAAATACATATTATTACTTACTGAGAAAACAAATTCAACAGTGGTGAACTATTGAGGTGTTATATTATGGCCATAATTCAATAAACACGAGCACAAATGACATGGACAAGGGTTACACTTGCTCACAACTCGGCTGCCTGCCGAATACTATATGAACCAGTCTTCACACACGTCTGTCATAGGCTCTGATCTAAGCACATTCCACTGAGCAGTAGCGCATCTAGTTGCTAGATGCTAACATGAGGTCTAATTGATCATTGAGAAGAATGTCAAAATTCTTGAGTTTGTTGATTTCTAATCCTCCAGTGAAACTATCAGAACAATTAATAACGTTGATGAAAAACTATTGTAATTTTCAATCAAAATTCAGCTTGAGAAATTCCTATGATTTGATAACTAAAATTCAAAATTTTACTCTACCTGATAACACAAAATTCATTTCATTTGATGTACAAAACCTTTTTCCAAGTATACCTCCCGAAGATACCATACTTTTAGTTGAGCAGTTATTAGATAAAAACCATGTTAATCCGAGTATCAAACAAGAGATCTTAGACCTGCTGTCGAAATGTCTCAAACAAAATTACTTTCAATTTGACAACAAAATATATTCCGCGTCAAAAGGGTTGATTATGGGAAATCCACTGAGCCCTTTACTTGCTGAAATCTTCATGGACAACTTGGAGCGAATAATACATAAACATTCATCAATAAAACAATATTTGTATTGGTACGTAGATGACATTATAGTATGCTTCAAAGGAACCAATAGACAATTTTTTCGTTGAAATACGATTCCCTGTCAGTACGACGTCAGTACAATATATCTATTATTCTTTACATTTATAACTATATTATGACAGAAATGGGACATAATAGGTATTTTAATCCTAGTTTGTTGAGCATTATGAATAATTCTTATATAATTCTCTCATTTGCTGGATGAAGTTGATCACTAATGAGGATGAATTTATCCACTTTCGCTATGTTACAAAATGATAATCATTACTTGTTAGTCAGTTTTTTGCAGATGAATTCGCTTCTTAATAAACGGTTCTATTTTCTAGGAAAAGTAGCAGATTATAGCTTGTAACAGCGCATAATACTTTCAGCCCGTCCACACCACACAAAATACTGACAGGCACACCAAGAGCTCATCTGATTCTGTGGTTATGTATGCTGTTGGTTACCAGTTTCACTTGGGTCAATTTTTGACCTCCAGTTATTCGTTAGCCTGTCTTCAGTTTATATATAGTTGTTTTGTTACTTCGTTATTCTTCATGATACAATCAATAACAGCGCCAAGTTTTTATTCGTTTTTCGATTATTAGCCATTCGCTAGCTATATTCATCATCAGCTATATACAAACTAGTTGCAGATTGTATACATACGTCACAGTTTGCCGCTCCGAAAATCAGAAATTGCTTTATTTTGAAAATAAAAACCTATTGGACTGTATCTATCTACATTATGTACAGCGTGGATAAAAAACTGAGGAGTACCGATCTTATTTCATGAAAATTCATCTCAAGGAATCTTCAAATTTTTGAAATTTTCATGCCAAATCGTTAGTTGGATGTCTACAATATTGACTGATATTCGAATTTGAATCTAAATCTGATAAATAAAAATAATGTATAGAATCATCACAGTCAGTATAAACGATATTTAGGGTATTTTATCGATTTTGCTCGTTACTTCACTTATATCGATTCAACCACTACATTTCTGATAATTCATACAGATGTCTTCTTCCACCATACCTGAGCGGCTGAAAAACTAATCAGAATATAAAATCAGATTCGGAAAATTCGAACAATAATTGTTGTGTAATCTGAACAACAACCTGTATCATCGAATTTTCCCTTATGAATTTGACAAGAACAGAAGATAGTGGTTCATCGTTCTGGGGAATCTATTGGCAATCAATCAATCAATCAATCAATCAAACTTTTATTAAATAAGTTTTCATCTACAATAAAAATTAGGAAAGAATCATAACATCATTGTAGAATACTAACTAATTCAACAGGTCATACAATGAAAAATGAATATATTTATTAAAAAAAGTTAAAACAAGACTTAATATAAACACTAACCATCAACTTGGAAAAAGAAATTCAGAATGTGTATAAAACATCAATGATATACTAGACAAATATATTTACAAACAACATTAAACATTAAAATATCATTAAAATAGTCTGATCATTAGAGAAATCAAGAAATCTGCTATCTCCACTCTGAAAATGGATAGGATTTTTCGATTCTTTAACAGAATTTGGCGTTTATTCAAATTGATGCAATTACAGAATTGTATCTCCGCTTCGAAGAAAATTCGGATTTTCATATAGAAAATTGTTCCTGCTAAACTTCTGGACAGACTTCTTTGCATAGGTATATTATTATGTATATAGTAGGAAATGGATTCTTTGGATCTTCCATATTGAATTATGGAAGTATAGTTATTTTCAGAAGAAATGATGAGAATCGTTAATACAGTATTTATGACTTCTACTTACCGATTGGTATTGTTTCAGGCAAGCATTGGATAACTTTCAGAAGCCAGAGTCCAAGCAATAGTACCATATCAAGTTCCATTATGAAGACATCTGAAAAAAAAAAACAATTCTTCAGATACTTGAAGGATAAAAGCTATATATCCACTTTTTCCAAGATTGGAGTAGTGCATAAAGTTACTGTTACTGTGTCATTTCCCAGAACTATCAATTCCTGAAGTTTCTTCCGCAAAAACTAATGTTTACTACGACATTAGGAGCATCTCAACTCAAACTTCGACACGTAGTCGTAAACACTCCCTAACTCCCAACTCCCAAAGTAATATTCCCTGCTACTAGTCCCCACATCCCTATGAGCATGTTTTCAATTCATTCATCTCGCTCTTTCTTGGAACAATAACTCACGTCAAGTAGACCGTAGCCAGGTATTATATTACAATGGATACTACCAATAGGAGTAATATCTTGTGGTGGCCGCATTTGTGCTGAAAACTGATTAGCATCACCATATATGACTGGCTGAAACCCAGCACCACTTTAAATTTCAGGAGTTCAACGATCCATTAGCACTACATCTGTATCTGTATCTAGTTTCCTAGTTTCGTATTCTGGTGGTGAAACTAGAGACCTTACAGTAGACTGGGTATGTTTGTACGTAATTGGATGGCCATGAGAAAACTGGAGTGGTTCATTTGATGGAAGGTGCTGTTATATTCTTGAGGTTGGAATAATGTTGATTCGCAAAATATATACAGGATGATTGTTGGCTGACGAGGAATACCCCAAGCCCTAAAGCTGTCATTCATTTTCCGAAAAATAAACGTTTTTGATACTATAGGAAACAGCAAAATCAACAAAGTGGAAGCGTTCTGCAGGTGGTGCGATGGTGTATGACTCAATTCAAGTACAATAGGCAATAATACAGAGGCGGTAATTCAATTGAAATATGCATATAACTATACATGTGAAAACATTGTAGTTTTTCGAACGGCACCTGTGCCAATCACTGTACTGAGCAGAATGATTGTAAAATTGCACTTCCCTGTTCGGAAATTTGTTCTCGATTTCGCGATTTAATTACGAGATGAGAATTATGCCATTCCATAACAATTGAATGCTAGATTTGAAAAACCACCTGTTCCACCCCTCAGTCTGAGCCAAATCCACGGCCAAATCGAAAGTGAAATTCTCTCGGTTTTGGAAACTGTGAAACGTTTGATGACTTCTTCTTTCAAGGATTCATACGGCATTTCTGCAAAGCGGTTCAATAAAACGTCACGACCTTCACTGGCAACTTCTGATGGTGGGCTTATATAAGCCCGAAACATGTAACCTCTATGTGATCGATCTCTGATCGTCAAATGAATTTTGTGAAGATGACTTTTAGTTTCTTCATTTATGAGAAATCAAATGATTTTACTTGATCTTTGAATCCAGAATGTTCTTGTTCAGGAACATTGCTTTCACTTGAACGAACCATAAAACTAGATCATTATTCCAAAACTCAGGTAAATATACATTCACTATTGTGTGGACCGTTGTTGATATCTAGGCATTCGTAGATCACGTCGGGGTCACCAATATGGAATAATAGTACTTTATTAGTTAATTGAAATATATATTGACATAATCGAATATTATTCAAAATTCATTATTGAACAAAGTGGCCAAATCGCTATGGCAATCATGAACCCACAGAGTGTTGGTGTAATCGTGAACCTACAAAGTGTTGGGGTCACTACAATTATACCAATCTGAGCCTGATTTTATAAATTTTCCTTCATCAGAAACGGCTCATTGCGGTTTTTAAATTTGAATTGGAATGGTTTATAATTATAATTATGTTTTCAAGCCCTTTCCGGGTCCCATTATGGTATAATAGGTCCTGAGCTTAAATTCTAGAATCTAGGTCATGATATGTCACACTCGAGTTAAGGTTAGAGGTAAGAAAACAAGAACAAGTGGGTTTTTGAACTGTCTTGCTAAGTTCACCCATGATGACATTGTTGAAATCGGTTAAATGTTGAAAGCGATGATGGATTGTTTTGCGTATCAGACATGCATAATCGAAATCGATCACCCAAAGATGCATGTTCCCAATACTTTTATGAATAACGACATTTTGAACAATGTATGAAAATGAATGAGCGGCGTTTAATGTCTGATCCAACTGGCGTTATACTGGTTGCTAAACTTTCCATTATTTTCGCATCACACAAAACTCCAGAATGTCAAAGGTGTGGAGCAGCAGGCATAAACAAACGATTTATCACTAACGAAAATGACTTGTCACCGAAACTCTCGTCCATCGGCGTACTCAATAATTTTCATATGCGAGGGTCATGAAATGAAATTCATGGAACCTTGCCATATACTAAGAATAAAATATACACACACTGGCACAATTAGGGGAACGGGTAAAATTTACACTAAGTTTGACATCAATTTTCTTTCGAACCGATCGCTCGATTCAAATTTTTTTTTCACGAAATGTAGCTTCATTCTCCACGAATACTTCTGAGAAATAATTACCTTCAAACGATGAGTCTTTCCATCATATACAGGGGTGTAAAGAAAGTACGGATTTTTTCGGTATTTTTTTAGACATCCTGTGGACTGAACCACTGATAATTGGAACGATTTCTCAACACCAAATTGGAGCCCAATCTATTCTGAATATTTTCGATTTTTATTCATCTTGATATCTCAATTATTCAAGAAAATACAGAGTTTCAAAGGAAAGGTGGATATTGGTATCAATTTACACTTCAAAACTCAAATTGGATCTGAAAATGTGTGGTTTCTTGACTAACCTAACCTTACCATGACTAAACCTCTGCCATAGGAGACAGGAGCAGTAAAATCAAATTGTTCATTTTGTTCACCTCGGCGATATAGTCTTTCCCTGCCATCTATTGAATTGGTGCAGATGCGGCTCTCATATGTTAAAAGAACATTGGCCCACTGGTCATTTTCAATTAATGCTACAGCCCTCGCCACATCAGTAGGAGTCATATCTCTCATGTTGAATTTTCATTAATCAAATTCATGAATTGTTAATCGCTTGACTTTGACAATAATTAATTACATTAACAAAATAGCCAACGTTGATTAACAAAAATAGCATTTCACCAAAAGAACATTGGAGCAACTTTTATCACCCCTGCATATTCATTAGAGTATTCGTATATGTGTCTTTAAACAGTAAACCGATAGGTAAAACTGTGAACAATTCTCATCTTGAAGTAAAAATCCTCACAGAAACAAGTTGAAAAACGACACGTTCTCCCCAGTTCGAGTTTCGAGGTGGTAAAATTAATACTAATATCCTTTGAAACTCTATATTTTCTTGGATAATTGGGATATCAAGATGAATAAAAAACGAAATTATTCGGGATGGATTGGGCTATAGTTTGGTGTTGGAAAATCGTTTCAATTATCAGTGGTTCACTCCACAGGATGTCTTAAAGAATACCGAAAAATCCGTACTTTCTTTACACCCCTGTATATGATATAAAGACGAATCGTTTGGAGCTGGTCATTTCTCAGATGTATTCGTGAAGAATGAAGCTACAATTCGTGAAAAACGAATCGAGTGATCGGTTCGAGAGAAAATTGATGTCAAAGTTAGTGTAAATTTTACCCGTTCCCCTAATTGTGCCAGTGTGTGTATTTCACATAGTCAATTTTCGGTTTTTGAAAGTTTGATAGTAGTTAAATGTAGTGTCGATAAGTAATCTGAACTCATTCACAACTTTCTCATTTGGTATTACTACACAAGATAAAATTGCCATCATTGAATAATTCAACAAAAGTGATACCGAGACCAACACACTTTATAACTTCGGGAGGTGCTGTTTAATCAACACAACATTCGTTTACTATTGATAGAAAAATCAGAGTATATCCAGAAGAGCATCATGGAATATTTTTGGGTATTTCACTGGATATGTCCCCTGATAATACAATTTGTTGCGCTCCTGCATGTATGCGAGCATTTAGCGAGTAGAGATAACGTAAACTAATGAGACCGTGCCGTATCTTGCTTTTGTAACGTTGCAACACTAGAAATGATCTATTGGTTAACTAGTATCTAGTATCCAGATATGACAGCGATAGAAGACGATGGTGTTTGCCCCGTTTCTATGTTCAACAGGCGTATCAGAAGTGTTGACTGGTGAACGTTATTCTAGTTAACGAAGCTGAAATTAGACCTTTGCAATGGGGTAACCGTAACTTCCTTTGGATATTGGCATGACTATTTCTCGAAATATTACTTTGACAGATTTCAGTACTCTTGATACTCCTGATATTTCCGTATACAGGCGTCTATCTCCTTTTGAACAAATAATTTCAGTGAAGATATCATAGGAAGATGGGAGACCTTTCTTCGACCTGGTAAAAGCTGTACATTTCTTTGGAGGGGAGGGGAAAATCTTGATAGCTTTGGTAGAAGGCGTGGTCTAACTGATCTAGAACTCCCATGGTATGTCTACTAATATGCTGGAGAGACCAAACTGTTCGTGTTTCCACTTCGATCCAAATTGGTTCATGAGCACAGAGAATACGTCCTTTTCGCAAGTAATTCGTCAAATAGTCTTCAATATCGCATCATTGAACTTTTAATTATCTAGCATTGTTTGCGTAACTTGCCGCTATACAAAGTGAATTCTGGGAGATATATTTATTCTGAGAATAAATTATAATCCCTTTCAAGATTAGCAGCAAAGCCTCCAAAGTCTATCTTTTCGAGCGACAACTCCCTCAATTAAGAAAGTTCATTCGGACCGTAAAATGGCGATAATAAAAGTTTTCTTCGAGCAACTGTGTAAGCTCTATATACTACGACCAACTTTCAAACTGTCATACTTTGGGAAATTATCGTTTTTTCTTTGTTTTCCGATCGCGATTTGATCGAGCTCGCGTATAATTGCAGACTAATCAATTTATCAGTGATTATAAAAAGCGTTATCTCTGTTCGAATGAATCAAGATGCGGAAATAGATTGTGCCATAATCGGATGATAAGATGGCTTTAATCATTTTTAGTGATTCCCAAGACGAATCCTTTCTTCCGTGAAAG